ACAGCAAGATTAATAACCCAATTAATAAATAGGTACAGGACCTTAAAAGACATTAGACAAACAATTAGCCAATGGGCATATAAGAATATTCTGGAAAAATTATCACCAGGGCAATGTAAACCATGAAGTTATCATCGCACACTTGTTAGAATGTTATTATCAAAAAAGACAAAGGACAAGCTTTGGTGAATACATAGAAATTTAATGGAAAATTGATTCATCTAATTCCTCAAAATATAGAACTATCATATGATCTAGAAATCTCACTATTTGTTATCTATCCAAGGAAATGAAATCAGTATGTTGACGAAATCACTGCATTCACATGTTCATTGCAGCATTTTCCACAATAGCAAAAATATGGAATTGACCTAAGGGTCCACCAACAGATAAATGGATAAATAAAATGTGATACATGTATAGAGTGGAATAGTATTCAGCCTTAAAAAGGAAATTGTGTCATTTGGGATAATGTGGATGAACCTGAAGTGCATTATGCTAAAAAAGTAAAAAATAATCCAGGCACAGAGAGACAAGTATTACATGATCTTACTCGTATGTGGAATCTAAAAAGTTGAACTCATAGAAACTGTGAGTACAATGGTGGTTGGCAGGTTCTGCTTGGAGGGAACAGGGAGATGTTGGTCAAAGGTACAAAGTATCAGTATGAAAGATGAATAAGTATCAGAGACCTAAAATACAGCATTGTGAGTGTAGTTAATAATATAGTATTGTGGGGCCAGTACTGTGGCGCAGAGGGTTAACGCCCTGGCCTGAAGTGCTGGCATCCCATAAGGGCACCTGATGGAGACCCAGCTGCTCCACTTCCAATCTAGCTGTCTGCTATAGGATGGGATAGTAGTAGAAGATGGCCCAAGTCCTTGGGCCCCTGCACCCACATAGGAGACCCGGAAGAAGCTCCTGGCTCCTGGCTTTGGATTGGCACAGCTCTGGCCATTGTGGCCATCTGGGGAGTGAACCAGAGGATGAAAGACCTCTCTGTCTCTACCTCTTTCTGTAACTCTGTCATTCAAGTAAATAAAAATAAATCTTAAAAAAAAATAATATAGTATTGTACTTAGAAAATTTGCTCAGAAAGCAGATTTTGAATGCTTTTACCCCACACAAAATGATAACTTTGTGAAGCAGTGAGCATATTAATTATCTTATCATAATTACTTAATAATGTAAACATATATAAAAATCACATTTAACACCAGAAATATATACATATTTTGTTTGTCAACTATACTTTAGTAAAACAGAGAAAAATAATAGAGTATTACTTTTAATCATATTGACAGTAAAGATATGACAGTAGAAACAGCAGTAGTTGTAGAACAGTTTATCAAATGCCATTCACTATTCTGAGTGTCACTTACACAAGATCTCATTGAATCATCATTTCAACCCAAGAAAGATATACTGCTATTGCCCACATAAGCAGAAATAGAAAGAGATTAGGAAATATCAGCATACAGATGACAGAAGAACCCCTCTCGAGTTCTCTTAGGAATCAGACAATTAAAAACAATCCTTGTTTATTTTTATCATGAAAATTCCATGTGTGTTGTTATATATATTCTAAAGTCAACTCATTTAAAATAATGTGTTCATTAATAGTTTTGCAATATTTTGGAGTTGAAGGAATTTTTTATATAATTAAAAATTCAAAACATTGATACTTTGTAGTTATACTGTTGGAGGGGTACATGTCCCACTGTGATTGATGAACATGGCTCATGTTCTTGAGGATGCATAGCACTGTGTCCATGCCACACCTACAGATGTAGTGGTCACAGCTGTAGACATCTACCCTGGCAAATACAATTTATATTTCAGACTGCTATGTTGAGCTTTGTCTGTCTTTTTATTGTTGCTGTTTGTTTTTTATTTCCTTCTTTATTTTGGAGGTTTGACCTGGAAAGGGCAAAGCACATTTCTAGGCGATAGAGGAACCTGAGACCCTTTCCCTAACTCATCTCATCAAATGGATACTTCGAGGAAGTTATTTCAAGAGAGGTGGAGATATTAGGAACATGGCTGCTGAGATTCTGCTTGAGGCCCACAGGAGGGTGTGGAAGAACTAGAAAGACCTGGTTGCTGAATTTAAATTATTTGGATATCTATGCAGGAACTTGGCAGGTCATTTCTGCTTGTCACAGTACATTTCTTAACTTTATGACAAATTTGAATGGTGATTCAAAAATATGCATGGTGAAATGGGAAAATATTTTCCCACTTTAAGTTTTCTTGGCTTATTTAAAGCTCTAATGATGCAAACATAATAGAAATTTAGACAGACAAACATTAAGTATCATCACTATTGAAAGCAAATTCTTACTGAAAACTTACAGGTTTTACATGATTGTTGGAATTTGTTCAACTTAATCCATTTAACTTGTTAGAATTGAGCCTAACTGAAACATAAAGACAATTTAGTTATTTTTAAGTTATTGAATTTATCTGTAGAAAAAAGTAGACACATAAGTTCTATTTTACTAGTAGCTTTATTTGCCAAGTTAAAGAACACCTATAAAATGAAAAGTCATTTTATACTTTATTATTTTATGTTTCCTTGCAATTACAATTTAGTTTATGAAGTGTCAGATTGGTTTTGGTGGGAAGGAGTAATTTTGTCCTGAAAAGCAGCTGTTGAATTTTGATGGCTTGCTATAATGGGATGGATTTCTTACTCCTTTCTCCTCTGTGTGTGTGTGTGTGTGCATGTGTGTGTGTTTGTGTGTGTGTATTCCTTCCTTATTCACAGTTTAAGACTTCTGTTTGGCACAAGTAAACTGCTTTTGATACCATCCTACTTCCATTAGGAAGGCATTGTTTTGGTATTTTTTTTTCACTTAATTTTATAAATGAATTTGTTGCTCAATTTCTCAAACATTCATTTGGAAAAATCAAGAAAATAGTTCTTACAGTTATTTTAGGCATTGATCTTGGAAATCAAAGCAACTTAAAACTAGATTTGTTAGAGTCAGAACAAAACAAGCTGTGAAATTATGGGATTCAGTCCCCACATCAAACATGTCTGAAAATGTAAGCTCAGAGGTGTTGGCTGTGGTTGTCCAAGTGCACAATGCTGGTTAGTCTAGGTTTGAAAGCCCAGTGTACACAAATAAAGTGAAATATTTCTAGTTTTAATGAGGGAGCCCTAGCGATGGAGTACAACATTTCTTCAAATGCTAATATAACAAATTTAAATCATAGATTTTGGAGGAGATTCACGGGAAGTTATTGCAGAAGCTTCATAGTTTACATGTACCCAAGACAGCTAATTCATCTACTGTATTGCTAACCCCCAGGATAAAAGAGTGTCATTTCATGAGTGTTTTTAATTATAGAAGATAAGAATAGCATGAATCCATGTTATCAAATGCCAATGTACACATTTCCATTTCTTTTCCTTAGAGTAAGTTTTCAAACCTGTGGTCATACTGCATGATGCACCACTGTGTGAGAGGATCAGAAAATGATCTAAACGAATAAGCAAATTGCACATGGGCGTATGTGTGTGAGATATGTGTCTAACATCATTTATTCAGTTCTAGCCACTCAGATGATTCTTTCAATGCCTTGCCTCACTTAATCCCCCAGAAAACCCTATGAGATCATTGTTATCACCTTTATTTCACAGATGATCTTAAGCTTGGAGAGGGGAAGCAACTAACTTGAAAGTAAAGGAAATGGGAATTTTAACATATGACTACATTATGGAAAATTTATGGCTGAATAATTTTCCAGGCAATAACTTCAATTTACCAAAAATGTTTCATTAAAATAGGAGGTAAATGTCAACATTGTTGGTAATTAGTTAACCTCACCATCTGACATTTCGGCTTTGGAAGAAGAGGGCAGGAAGAAGTTTTCCAGACATTACACCATAGAGGCTCAAAAATATTACTATTCATTTATATTTCAACCTTTAAGTTTTAAAACTCAATTAATTTCCACTTGGTGTGGTAGAAGTTTAGTAGACCACATTGTGGTGCTTGAACTTTAACATCTTGTAAATATATACATAGCCTACTCATGACACTTGATACTAAGACTCTTCAGTTTGTAGATATTTTTACCTAAATGATATTATTAACTTGATTTTAAGTGGCTGAAATACTTAATGTTTTGTGAATATGATCAGTTCTTTAAAGCATGAGGAAAAACAGTCCATTCTCTTAAATAGGTTGACCATTCTGCCCATCTTATTCAAAGTCTCAAACTTCCTTTGTAAATTATATAAAAGAAAACTTTAGTTTCACTCCAGCAGAATTCTGACATTTATATTAGAATACCAATTATCAATGTGTTTCGTTTAATGATATAAGACAAAGAACAGGATCTGGAAATTAGAAAGATTTCTTAATTCTTTGAACCAGAACACACATTTACAACGAGAAATCTTATATCCCTAATCGAATCAATTTAAAATATCTATAATATCTCCTCTTGAGCTTTACCAAGAGAACAAAATGATTGAAGGTATATACATGTACTAGGCTGACCAGCATTTTAGAAAACCTCATTACATTCAGTTTTCAGAGCTTAGCAAAAGGCCAAGGTATAATAGGAAATCAGCTTGCCCTGGTTTGGGTAGAGGATTATTCAGGGAACATTTCAGAAATCCAGTCAGAACCCTCCTTCTCTCATTCCCAGTCTGCTGTCCCCTCTGTATATGTTCTGCATCAGCTCAGGGTTTGCAAAGTAACTTGACTACCAGACTAAGCCAAATATAATTGAGAAAGGGAAGCTGCCAAGAAGCAATCAGATCCATGGCATTCCAAAATCAAGCCTATTCCAAATGCCTGATGCATCATTCCCAGAGCAGCCCACATGTCTGCAAGCTACGTGTGACTGGAGTTCCAACTGGAGGCTCTCCCCAGCCCCCAATCCGCACACCTGAATCCACAAGCTCTTCAAATAAGGGCAAGCCAGGCTCAGTCATACCTGTTCTCAGATATGCTTTAGTTACGGAAGCACACAAAACTTACCAAGTAAAGAAAAGGTCAGTGTAGGTCCCAGATGTCCTTTGGGGAAGGAGCCTTCTGTGCCTGTCACATACAAGGGTTCATCTGCCCCCACTTTCAAGTCTGTTGTAATGCTTTTCCTTGGACGCCTTTATGCTTTGGCAGCTCTTCTGTGGCCCTGCCCCCACAGTTGAGGCTTGCAAATGAGGAAGGATGTCTCAATCTGAACATGTAGCAACTCCTGGAGGGAGCTTGGAGGTTTTAACAAAATGAAAAGTAAAGAGCTTTTATGACCCCAAAGAGAGGTAGCTAGGAGAGAAAATATTTTAAATATCATCAGTTCCCAAAACCACAACCCCCTAGGATTCAATGCAAAACATTATCTCAGTTTAGAATTTTTCCTTACAGTTCTCACCTGTTTCGTCTCCTGTCCCTGACCCAATGGCAGTCACAGGAATAAGAACAAGCAGTTCTACTTCTTTCCCACCTGATCACAATTTTATTGCAAAATTCACTAGAAGAGGAATTGAGATGTATGTTTTCAGGCAGGAGTTTCAGCTTTCACTTGAGCAGAGGTGGGTGGAATCTACCTGACCATAGGATTTTCCAATATCAGCCTCTTTGGAGGGGATTCGTTTAGTTGTAGAAAGACTGGTATTGGTCTCCCTGACTCCAGTGCCCTTGTCTCTGTAGTTTTGGCTGAAATGAACAGCAATTGCCAGAGTGGGGCTCTTCTGAAGGCGCTTGGTTGCTCAGTGACTTGACTCACAACACACAGCCTTTAGGACAACAAAAGTGGACGGCCAGGATGGGCAGCATGCCATGGACCCAGAGCCTGGCTGCCAGGCATTCACTGGGGAGTGTTCAGTGCCCAGGGGAGGGCTCATTGGACAGGTCCCAAATCCTAGTTCCAACAGGGTCCAGAATACATTATAAAGAAAGTCTTCAGGTGTCAACTAAAGTCCAAGAAAGAGAAGCAAGAGCCCTCTGCTTTATTCCCACCGTCACCAACCCTCCCAGGAAGACACAAAACCAGCTTCAGTCAGCAACTTGTTGCTTCTTGCCCACAGGACTCACATGGCTGTGAGACTCAGACAAAAAGGAACAGAAGAGCTAATGAGAGAGAGAGAGAGAGAGAGAGAGAGAGAGAGAGAGAGAGAGAATGTAACCCTGCTCTCCTGTAACCTCCATGTTTTCTTGGCCAGGCAACTGCTGCTCCCAGAATTGCAATGCCCCTGCCCCCTCCCTCAGTGGTGCTCTGTCAGTTTGTTCCACATTAAAATTTAACTTGTGTCCTGTATTTAGATCCTCTTGTCCACCTCCCCCTTCCCTTTCCCAAGTCTCAAGGTCAAATTACTGACATCTAGTGTCCAGTAAAAATGACAGCAGGTTTCATTTCCATGTGTGGAAGTTAGGTATGTGTATGTAGGGTGCTGTGGTAAATGTTGCCAGCATTTTAAACTCACAATAAGAGAAGGCATTCTGGCACAGCAGATTAATCCACTGCCTGTGATGCTGGCATCCATAGCAGAAGCCTGGCTGCTACACTTCCAATACAACCCCCTGCTAATGCGACTGAGAAAGCTGTGAAAGATGGCGCAGGCACTTAGTTCCCTGATACCCACATAGTAGATCCCAATGTAGTTCTGGGCTCCTGGATTGAGTTTGGCCCAACCCCAGCTGTTGGGGCCATTTGAGAAGAGAAACAGCAGATAGAAAATTTCTTACTCTCTCTGTTCCTCATTCTCTGTCACTCTGCTTTTCAAATAAATAAATCTTTATTCTTTAATAAAATAAAGCTGAAAAAAATAAACCCACAGAAACTGAAGGTATAGACATGCTACAAGGAACCAGTTAATTATATTCTGATATAATTAAATTAAAAACCTGCACATAAATCATTAATACCTGCAAACAGGCAAAAATGAAACAAATAGGCACATAAACCTAGAGTTTGCTCTCTACTGTAAGAAGCCTCTTCAATGAGCTAGAGAGTACAGGTATAACTTTGACATATTGACTTCATATTCCTTGGATATGCGGGATATAGCGGGATTGCTAAATCATATTATGGCTCAATTATCAATTTTTTGAGAAAGTTCTGTACTGTTTCCCATGTCTTTACCAATTTACATTCCCACCAAAAGTGTGTAATGGTTCTATTTTCTTCACATTCCATCAAATGTATCTTTCATCTTTTTGATAATAGCTGTTCTGTGTAAGGTGAGATATCATTGTGGTTTAGTTTGCCATTTCTCTCCTGGTTAGTGATGTTGAGTGTTGTTTCACATACCTGTTAGGCATTTGCATGTCTTCCTTTGAGAAAAGTCTATTCAGGTTCTTTGCCCTTTTTTAAATCAGGTTATCATTTTGCTATTGAGTTGTTTGACTTCTTTATACAAATTAGATATGAGCTCCTTATACTCCTTATTTGCAAATATTTTCTCTGTAGGAAAAGGTTGTCTTTCCACTATGTTGACTACTTTCTTTGCTGTGCAGACGCTTTTTAGCTTGATGCAATCCCACTTGTCTATTCTTTCCTTTGTTGTCTGTGTTTTGGGAGCATATCCAAAAAAAATATGGCTCAGATCAATTCCCTTGTGACATTGTTCACAATGGCAAAGGGAATCAACCTAAGTGTCTATCAGCAGATGGGTCGATCAAAAAATGTGATGTGTGTGTGTGTGTGTGTGTGTGTGTATTATTTGTCCTTAAAAAAGGAGTTCCAGTCATTTTCAACAACACGGATAAGTAAAAAAAGACATTGTGCTAAGTGAAACAAGCCAGGCATAGAAAAACAAGTAATGAATTATTTCACTTACATGTGGGATCCAAACAGTCAGACTTGTAGAAGCAAAGAATAGGATGGTGATTGTCAGGCACTGGGGTAAGGGAGATGTATTCAAGGGTATAAAATTTCACTTAGAATGGATGAGTTCTAGAGATCTATTGTACACCATAGTGACTATAGATAATACTAGCATACTGTATAAATGAAAATTGCTAAGAGAGTAGATCCTTTTTAAAAATTTGTTTTTAAAATTTATTTATTTGAGAGTTACAGAGAGAGAGAGGTCTTCCATCAGCTGGTTCGCTCTCCAAATGGCTGCAATGGCCAGAGCTGAGCTGATCCAAAGCCAGGAGCCAGGAGCTTCTTCTGGGTCTTCCCCATGGGTTCAGGGGCCCAAGGACTTGGGCCATCCTCTGCTGCTTTCCCAGGCCATTAGCAGGGAGCTGGATGGGAAGCAGAACAGCCAGGACTTGAACCTGAGCCCATATGGGATGCCGATGTTGCAGGCTGGGGCTTTAACCTGCTGTACCACAGTGCAGGCCCCAAGAGTAGAGCTTAAGTGTCTTCACAACAAAAAATAAGTGTGTGAGGTGAAGAATATGTTAATTAGCTTTATTTAACCACTTCACAATGTTCACATATATCAAAACATCATATCATGCAGTACAAATATATATATATATATAATTTTTGTTTTTCAAGCATACCTTAACAAAAACATTATTTTAAAAATGCCTCCTTAAGATTAATAAAAAGCATTTCACTTAGTGTGCTCCCTTATCTGTATTAACCATTTACAGTCTTCAACTCACTTTCATATATGGTCTCTCAGAGTATTAGCCTGGAAGTAGGAAACAATATTAATATGGATTTAAGATGGAGGAAATGAGACCACCATGATCCAGGAACTACCCAAGAAATATAAGTGGCACCACTGGCATTGATGGCAATGTTGCTCATGTTTGTCTGTATGTTCCTGAGTCTCAGCTGACTAATAAAAGTACTCTTATTACTGATGGTGACTGAACCCACAAACAAGGAGCAAGGCCAGTCGGGAACTGGCAAAATGATTCAGCTGGGAAGATACAGGAAGCACTGTCATTGAGTGGGAAGCTGCCCTGAGTCTTTCTAGTGACAAATATTTTCTGATAAATAAGTAATAGTAATCATTTTGCTGACTTAAGCTTTGAATTTTTAGTCATTCAGTCTACAAGGGCTTAGTAAGCTCTGAATTTACAAATTGCCAATTATGATAATTACAAAAATATTTTACTTAGACTGAAAAGACTTTTTGATCTTCAAAATAATTTGTTTATGTCTCCTCTCAATGGAACAGGAGCTCTGTGAGGGCTTTGGGATATCTGTACTTGGTACCATTGTTAGGTCAGGCAGTAGGGTGTCTACCCTAGACATTCTGTTTTAGAGGACTCTCTTCTGGTCCCTTTCTATCTGTACCACTTTTCATAGAGTAAGTTGTCTCTGGGACCAATGGATCCCTCAAAAGCTTCATGATCCCTCTATTTAATTAATACTCTGAGAACATAGGCCTTACAATTTCAGATCCTTCAAGGCTTGGACCAACTTCCAGGGGTTATTATGAGTGATCTCTTTCTTTGTTCATACCACTGAGGTTGTGCTGAATCCCTGGCAAATATGTCCCTAAGCTAGGAGGTGAGTTAGAAGCAACGCCATATGAGTGCATGCTGTACACACAGAAGAAGCTGAGCTCATGCTGGCCTGTTCACATATACTCACATGAGGTTCCTCCTAGTGCACGATGAAAATAGGGATCATATGAGAAGTAAAGAGAGCCAGGGTATTAGGCAGCTGCCAGCTGAGGGCGAAGGTCTAGGGAACCTGGAACTAATGTGAAAGTCTGTATGTTATTATGATGCAGCCTCTATTTTCAAGTCTTAGACTAGGACTTATCTTATTCAACAGTTATGCTTTATAAGCTGTACTGTTTTGGTAAATATTTAACTAGCACTCAATCATGTTATTCATCATTTACATTTAAATGCTTCACCATGGCTTATTGTAAGCTTCCAATACAACATTGCTGAATGTGCATTTGGGAAGAGATGTGTACAATCTGCTTTCCCAAGCCCGTAAGAGCTGGCTGCCTCCCACTATTGTGTACTTTTAAACATTTAGATATGTGGCATAGGAACTTCAACTTATATTATTATTCTGCCTACCTCCCTGCAATGTTAATGATGGGCCATAGTACATAGATAAGTGCTAACATGTAGTAGTAGACTCTTAATAAATACCCCCTGTATAACAGGTCCTATTAGTTGTGTGACTTTAGGCAAGTCATTCATCTATAAACTAATCTATACTAAATATGTTACTTGACTAAATGAGACAGTTCATGTGAAAGCATTTAGCCCAGTTTTTGGCATTTAAATACAACCAATAAATGTTGCTGAAAGAATGAATAGCAGACATTCAATAAATTTTAATTTATTTTTTATTATCATATTTGGGGATAATTCAAGTACTTTAAGCTATTGTTAGGTATTTACAATTTTCTGCACTTGTCTCTAGGTCAAGACAAATACCCATTTCTTCCAGGTTTTCTTCTGGGGGAACCCTTTGTGATAGATAACTCATTTTCATAAAGTTCCCAAGGGAACACTGCTCATACAATGTTACTCATTTTAGAAAGTTTGGTAAAATTCCATTTGGCTGCACATCTGTTATCTGAACCTACGGGAGGAAAGTTTATGTTTTATGTACTTTGTGCTCAGCTCTATTTGTATTCTGGGACAGTGGACAGAAAAATGGCTTTGAATTAATACTTGAGATTTAGCCATCCATATATTGTCTTTACAGCGGAATATGCTGAGTTTTTAATATGAACACCAAGAAATAGGAAGTATAAAAGATTCAGCAGTGGCACTCTCTATTTCTCTTATTTGCTTGGCTAATGGAATAAAACTTAATGA